TGTGAGGAACTGACTCTGCTGGGTTTCGAACCCTGGTTTATATGGTGCTAAACCTCTTCCTTACCAGTACACCAGCCTGCCTTTTGCAAATTTACCTGAGATCTGATACCATTGCTTGTAGAGTCAAGGTTATCAGTGACAACTCTCTTCAGCTGTGTCTGGTCAGGTGTCTGGTTCTTGGCCTATAAAAGCCACTTCCTGTTTCTGTACCTTTGCCAGATTATTTTGGTTCCTGTACTCTCTAATCAAGCGTGTTCCTGTTTCTCCTTCCTGTTGCTGAATTTGGACTGTTTTGACTTTGCTGCTTCTCCTTCCCACTGACCTCGGCTTTATCATCTTTCTGTTCCAGTCTCCCATCTCTGCTTAAGACCAGAAGGCCACTCAAGACTCAGGGGCTCAACCACCTGGGTAACGAGTGGCTACCTCTGGCAGAAAACATTGCTGATCTGACTACTGGATTCCAAAACTTTGTAACATCAATATCATTACAGAATAATCTGGCCCATTCATGGAGACTGTCGGATCAGACTCTGCATTGGCCCAGCAGGTTGCTTTTAATGCAAGAACTATGCAGACCCAGGCACAGACCATTCAAGTGCTGCAGGATCAGGTAGCTGAACTGCAAAATGAAGTTCGATCAATGCATAGTGAGCTTACCAGCTACAGGGCACATGATGCTGCGGCTGCTGCTACTACTACTGTTACACCTGCACAAGATGCCCGCTTGCCTCTACCAGAAAAATTTGGAGGAGACCGCAAAAAATTCAGGGGTTTCCTAAATCAATGCCGTTTGCATTTCATGATGTTACCTAACCGTTTTCCATCTGAAAGAGAGTAGGTGGGATTTATTTTTTCCCTCTTCAAAGATGAAGCCCTGGCCTGGGGCTCCCCTTTTCTGGAACAGGACAGTCCAATCTTGGGAAATTTAAAAGACTTTCTCGAGGCCATGTGCCTAGTTTTTGATGATCCCAATCGCTGTGCTACAGCAGAAGCCACTCTCCTTCATTTACATCAAGGGAGGCGCTCTGTGGCTGAATATGCTGCTGAATTCAGACAGTGGGTTACTGATACTACTTGGAACCAATCAGCCCAGAGGTTCCACTTCAGAAAGGGTCTCTCAGAAGCTATAAAAGATGAGCTAGCTCGTGTTGATCTTCCTGTTGAGTTTGATGCATTTGTGCGGTTGGCTATCCGTATTGATTGGAGACTTTCAGAAAGAAGATTGGAAAGACAGGGCTCTTTTAAACCAAGTGCTACTCCTACTTTCTATTCAATAATTTCTACTCCGACCCCACAAACACCTACAGACTCTGAACCTGAGGCTATGCAGGTAGATCTAATAAGAGGGCCATTATCCAATGAAGAAAAACAGTGGCGACGCATTCACAACTTATGCCTGTATTGTGGTAGTGCAGGGCATTATGCCATCAATTGCCCTAACAAGTCTAAAAGAACAATAGCTATGACTGCTGAGGGTGCACAGATTCAACACCAATCCCAGATTTCAGACCAACTGGATTCTGTCACACAACCCTTGTTTTCTCTGGCTCAGGGTGAAGAAGGTATGATGACTCAACATCCCCATTTGGTGGTGCCTATCACTTTGCAATATGGTGATAATAAAATTTCAACTACAGCTATGATAGATTCCGGAGCAGGCGGAAACTTTATGGACATTAAATTTGCAGCAGGAAATAAAATTCAGTCTATCCCTAAATCTTCACCTGTGTTAATGGAAACAGTAGACGGTTCTCCACTTACGTCAGGCCCGGTTACACATGAGACTGTGCCCTTAAAATTGATTCTGGAAGTGAATCACCATGAGTCTATATCCTTCCACCTAATTTCCTCAACACAGTTTCCAGTGATTTTGGGTATACCCTGGCTTGCTCTGCATAACCCACAGATTGATTGGAAGACTAGAACTTTGTCCTTTCCTTCAGAACACTGCTTAATGAATTGTCAACCCTCTAAGGCGACATCTGTTACCACAACAATTAATGAAATGGTTGCTACAAACTTAACTAAGCTTCCGCTACAATATCGGGATTTTGCAGATGTCTGTGATAAGAAGAATGCTGATCAGCTTCCACCACACAGGCCTTATGATTGCCCCATAGAGCTGCTACCTGGAGCTGCTATCCCATTTGGCCGTATATACTCCCTTTCTGAGCCTGAATTGAAAGCACTTCGTGAATACATACAAGAAAATCTTGCCAAAGGCTTTATTCAACCATCTACTTCTCCAGCAGGAGCTCCTATATTCTTTGTAGAAAAGAAAGATGGCAGTCTACGGCCATGTGTCGATTACAGGGACATTAATAAAATCACTGTTAAAAACCGTTATCCCTTGCCTCTCATTCCTGAACTTCTGGAGAGACTTCATTCAGCTAAAATATTTACGAAGCTTGATCTACGGGGGGCATATAATCTGGTTCGCATAAGACCAAATGATGAATGGAAAACAGCTTTCAGAACCAGGTACGGACATTACTAATATCTAGTAATGCCATTTGGGCTTTGTAATGCCCCTGCAACTTTTCAGCATCTAATCAATGATGTACTACGGGATCTCCTGGATCAGTTTGTTGTGGCATATTTGGATGATATCCTGATATTTTCTGATAATCTTGAAAATCACAGAAAACAGGTCTGTATTGTTCTTGAGCGCCTTCGTACCCACCACCTATACATTAAACTGGAAAAATGTGAGTTTGAACAAACAGAAATTCAGTTCCTGGGGTATGTAATAACTCCTAAAGGTTTAAGTATGGACGCAAGTAAAATTAAAGCTGTGCTGGACTGGCCCATCCCCAAGAATGAAAGATATACAGAGATTTGTGGGGTTTGCCAATTTTTACAGGCGTTTCATTAAGAATTTCTCTGCCGTTATTACACCGATCACTGAACTTACACGTAAAGGGACTCCTTTTCAGTGGTCCAATAAGGCTGACACTGCATTTTCCAGATTAAAGACTCTGTTTACATCTGCCCCTATCTTGGTACATCCTCAGCCAGAATTGCCATTTACTGTAGAGGTAGATGCTTCTGATTCAGCTGTTGGGGCTATACTGTCTCAAAGGACTGGACCTAAGATGATGTTACATCCATGTGCCTTCTATTCTCGCCAGATGTTACCAGCAGAAAGAAATTATGACATAGGGAATAAAGAACTTTTGGCTATAAAAGCTGCCTTCACCGAATGGAGACATCTCTTGGAGGGAGCCACCCATCCAATTACTGTCCTCACAGATCACAAAAATCTGGAATGTATCCAATCCGCTAAGAGACTGTCAGCCAGACAAGCACGCTGGTCCCTATTTTTCTCAAGGTTTAATTTTTTTATTTCATACCGCCCTGGTTCCAGAAATGGCAAGGCGGATGCCTTGTCTAGGATAGCTGACCATACTACAGTAACCAAGGCCACCATCTTGCCGGAGAGCAGATTTTTAGGAGTTACCTTTCCTTCTGATCTAATGTCTCGCATTAAAAAGGGCTACTCTAAAGATCCAGTTTTTCGTGATCCTCCTCGTGATCTTCATATGACCATGCTTAATGGGTTTTGGATTTTTCAACAACGCCTGTTTGTTCCAGAATCAGTGCGACTGGACGTTTTACGCCTCTACCATGACTCTAAACCAGCAGGTCATCCAGGAATCCGAAAGACACAAGAACTACTTACCCGATCCTTTTGGTGGCCTAAATATTATGAGGATGTTAAGAAGTATGTGTCATCTTGTGATGTATGTGCCAGACATAAGA